TTATCTTCACCATAACCTGGGTTCTCTGCGTCTCTCCTCGCCATCAACAACCCCCCACTTCATGACAGAAACATGGAGAGTACACAAAGATTATGGCAAAAAATAAATAAATAAACAAATGAAGCTCCATCCATCACATAGTTGTAAAATGACATGCAGAATCAAAGACGTTCTTTCTGAGAGAAAGGAAAGTACAGAAAGTTTTTGACTTAGTCCAAGAAAAAGACAGACGTGAAATTGACTGTCCAGGAAAGAGACAGAAATAAACTAATCACCAGAGCAGAGGACTTTCTATGAGTAAGCTAAAACCAAAAATGTATACAGAGTTAATTGAAGCAATGTCAGGGAAGAAGACACGACTAAACACAGAGGAAGAAGTTTTTCCAGTTGAGTGTCATTACCTCAAACTCACAGGAGCAGATGGATAACGGCTCATTTGGGCCTGATTAAAAGGTTTTACTGAATTGGAAGTTCATTAGTGTGTTTTTAAATCCACTTCAGGAGTAAAAAACCCCATCTGCTTTAGGGATGTAGAAAATCCAGCTTGTCTTGAAGAAAATTTGAAGAGATTAAAAAAGACATGCTAGACTTTTTATTATGTTCTGCAAACAGAAATAATAATTGTGTTAAGTGTATTTTAAACATGTAAGACACATGCTTACACATAATCTTATATATAAAAATTCATCTGACGTGAAGAAACGGTGTTTTTAAAAAGTTGACTTCCCATCAGTGCAGCCGTTTGGTAATTGCTAAACCATCTCTGTGGCACGGTGATAGTTTGCAATTTACTCAGTGGTAATCCCGAGTGCCGCTGTGTGTGAGAGGAGAGCAGATAGGCTAAGTACGGAGGAGAAAAGTGTCAAGAGGAGACGCAGATTGAGCTTATCTGTGCGCTCAGGCCTTCCTTTGTCAGAACAGCTCCTTTACTGATGAAGGCTCTTTGAACCTGACAGAATAATTAAAATCAAAGAGAAAAAAGCTGACATTTGCAATTTGACCTGTCTGACTTACAAGGCAAAATTGGCACCGTTTCCTGTAGATTGCATTATAATAGCATTCTGCCCCCGTGTGAGCGTGTGTGTGAGGAAAGTTTGTGTTTGGGTGTGCATGTGTGTACTGTACTTATTGGTTCAATGCAGTGTGTATTCAAAAGTGTGTGGGAAGGAATGAAAGAGTAAGTTTATGGCATATTACCCAGTCATTTCTTCATTAAGGAGCTGTTTTCCGGTAAGCGGGCGCTATTTGAATAGCTAAATTGTCCGAGCAATGTGCAAACAAGAACTAATAGCCCAGTGTCCTTGTCACTGGCAAAGTCAAAGTAAAGATCTCTAAACTCAGGTGAGTTTGACGGTTTGGTCTGTGAGAATATTTCTGTACATTTGAAGCTTCTTGCCTTGAATTTGATGTCATCATGTGGGCAACAGACCAATTTATTGTCTGGTTTTAAAATGGAAATATTTTAGAACCATCAGAGCAAAAAAGATATAAAGTATGTGAATCATAATCTGGTTTTTTTCATTGTTTTATCAAAGAAGAAAATATTAAAAACCCTTTTCTGCACCAAAAAGGGATTTCTCTTTAAAGCAGGAAGTGAATACCATATATGAATAATGATGTGAAATCTCATGTAAAACAGCTGTATAAAGAAAATGGACTGTTTACTTCATCATGTTGTAGGTCTAATGGATACATATTGTGTTGTTAATAATACAGCAAGAGGACGTGGTGACTTTTGTTGATAAGATCATCTGGACAGGAAATGCAGAGCAGCAGGAAGTAAACTGAACAACTGGAAATGTGGGTTTATAGTCATTTGTGCAAATGAAGATCAAATACTGTACAGCAGATGGTCATCGTTTTCTGTTGTCAAAATCGTTTCTATTGGTCTTGTGTAAAAAGTTCTGTGAGATTGAATTTGGGGATTTTATTTGCTAATTATCAGAACTAACAGAAATAAATGATATAAATATATTGCTCTGTTTGGAATTAATCAATATAACATATGAACTTTACGTTTTTAATTAAATTTGAGAAATTAATTAACTTTTTAATGATATTTAGATTTGTAGGAATGTACTTGTAATTGTAAAGTTTTCATATACACCACACTGTGCGGCTATCACATCAAACATATTACATGAATAAACTTGGCCTCCATCCACGTTTTTCCCACTTGAATAACAATTCCTTAAACAGCGCCAAGTAAATGAGGTATTATTCATTTTCTCCAAGTGGTATGACAGCTTTGGGAAGATTTGGAGGCATCATTTCTCTCCCAGAACACTGAAACAGCAGCGCGGAGAACACAGGGAGGGAATTGTCAGACCTGAGATGCCAGAGCAGAAAACACATTTGTTATGAATCCAGCAGTGCGCGCAAACGAAACCTATTGGAAAAGAACAGAGGGAGGCAGTGTTTAAAACATCTGGAGAGGTCCGTCTTGAGATTTTTTACACAGCATGAAGAACGGACAACTGCTCAGTGAGCTCTGTTATAGGATTCAGACTGATAAGAAAGAGGATATGTTGTGTTAGTTAATACACATTACTAATCGCATGTGATAAAAAGGGAATAAATGACAGAGCTTCAGTATTTCACTCTCATACTACAAACAGTTGGCTTTACAGGAAGGACCATCAGGGCCGGTCTTCCCTCCAACCAGGAGTTGAACATGTCTAGGGGCAGCTAACATCTCTGCAGACCCCACACATTCTGGACACAAACTGTGTAGATGTTTACTTTCAGGCTGGCACTGCAGAGAAAATATAACCGCACCAAAGTTTCTTCCCTCCAGGCTGTCAAAGTGGTCAGATTTATACCATACATACTGGAAAACAAATGGTTAATAGGTGATTTAAAAAAACTAATATAACCTTGCTTTGCTCATAAAAATACAAATTCTGAAAGAAGAAAGGCAAGGACATCAGACCTGGTAATAGATTTTCCACCTTTAACTAAAACTACCTCAGTCAGTACTGTAGTGTTGTAGGCATCTACCGTCTCTGACAGGTTTTCAACGCCCCTCAATGCAGAATGTTACTGCAGCCATTTCTGCATACCTGACCATATGGTACCAGTCTGACAGGCTTCATGAAGCATCATTTGACTAGAATATTCAAGCAGCTTTATAAATGAGATTTTCTAAACCTAAACATGTTTGCAATTCATCTGAACCAGAGATCAGCAACATTTACAACCCTACGAGCCATTTTTGCTTTTATTCCAGGTAAACAAAATTTGCTTAGAGCCACAAAGGCAATAGACAAAAGAAATGACTTCATAAAAATAGTCTCTTAGAATATTTTTATGAATGTTCTAACAGAAAGAAAATTCTCTTTAAAGAAATATTATGCATGAAAATGCTATACCAAGCTTTTACTAATTACATTTACATTTTAAACATTAAATTCTTTAGCATTTTTGTCAAGCTTCTTAAGAACCACATGTGACTCCAGAGCTGGAGGTTGCAGAGCTCTGACCTGCATTAAGGTTTTACCTATTAAAACTGAATGAAACTTATAGCGTTCTTTTGATTTTTGTTAATATCATTACATTGAAAGCATTCGATCTCTAAAATGCCTTCATATGGTCTACTTTAACCAGCTATATCACACTGCCACCTAGTGTTGGAAAAATGCCAATATCCATAAAACTAAAATTATTGTTTTCTAGGTTCCGTGAAGTGAGAATTAATTGTTTCTGTGTTATTATCAAAATGAAGGTTATGCATTTTATTAATCTTTAGTAACTCTGTGCTCCTATTTCAGTTTTAGTTTCACTCATAAACTCTCAGAGCTTTGAAAATATTAAAGTTTGTGGTAAATTAGCTTTTTTCTTTTCTTAACAACCCTTAAGAAATACAATTTTAAGATTTCAATGCGAGTAAATAGAATAAAGTTGAAGCTTTAGATTCAAATTGCATTTATTTCAACGTGGTTAAAGATACAACAACACATTGCAAAGAACTTGACATTTGAAGTTGTTTTTCCACTTTTTTCTGAGGTATGCAGCCATTTTTGACATAAAAAAGCACTACTGCAGAACAGCAACCGAAATATTACAAATGCATGAATAAAATAACAATTGCTTCTCCTTAGTGTTGATTTAAATGAGCTCTAAAAGACCGTGTAACAGTTCAAGTGCTGGTCTTTCTGCAGGAGCATCTACCTGGTAGAAGCAGAGCTGCGTCAAAGTTCACTGTGCAGCAGGAGTTTGGCTTTCTTCATGTTTGCTGCCACTGCCAAAGAACAGAGGACAGGAACAAAAACATCAGAGCTCCGATACTGAGCTGCCAACAGGACAGTTCATTAATTCAAGCTGCAGGTACATCTGCTGTGCAACAGTTTGTAATAATCCACATTAATTGAAGACTGCACACTTGTCAACAGGAGGTTCAGTTTGTTAAAACACAATGTCAGTGAACAGCTAACTCCCAGTTTGAGTGTCAAATAGTTTTCTCAACATTGCCACTCAGAACTAAACTATTGCATCACTTTTTATTCCTTTTTAACAACCCTTGGAAAAAAATTTATAAGTTTTTTCTGGAGCCTTTACTATCAATCGCCCACTTTCACTTAAGTTCAAGCTAAAACAGCTAAATATCTACATGTGGATTCCTTTGGACAACAAAGAATATGATTTTAACATTTTCCTGTGTAATTTGAAAAAGCAAAATATACACTCAAAGTGTTGCCTAAACAGTTATCTCAGAATATTTCAACCTGCATGGTGCTCATGTAAAGATTACTTTACAGATTGGACATATGGATTCTCCTTGCATGTTTTCGCCCTATTAAACAAGATCAAGCAGCGTGAAAGTGAGAGCTAACAGTCACTCACAGAGCTCCATGTCATCTGGGCTGTAGGTGTAGAGGCGGTCTTCGTAGTTCCCCACAATATCTGCACGCACAGTGTGAGACGGATCTGCAGAATGACACAAATGATCAGCTAAAGATACAGGCCTGGTTTATATGACCTCTGTTTTCTTTTGATAAATAGCTTAGAATTGCAGTTAGAAGAACATGGTAATAATATAGCAGAATAAACAAAAGATGATGGGAAACTATAGCAAAATGCTAATCCACAAAAGAGTTATATCAAATTAGTAGCACACAGAGTTGTGAGAAAATTATGAAACCACATGAAAGTGTGTTTTTTTATATAAAAACTGGATAAATTTATATTTAACATAATTTTTAAGAATACTTAGAAATATGAGTAAACAATAAAAAACAAAAATTCTTTAAATTTTTTTTTATTACAGGACAAACTGGGATAAAATACTGTAAAAGTACTTTTTGACTGGTTCTCTTAATGTTTTCAAGTGTTTTAATTTGGAAGCAAAACTAAAAGCCACTAAAATTCTTCAAGTCTCAAATATTTTAGTACGATGTTGATGTATACATTGAAATTCAAATATGTTTGCAGTCTACACACTGAAGCATGAATATGTCAGAGCCACTCAGAGGGTTTCTGCATTTGCAAATCCAGTTTTATCCAACATTTAGGTTGTGGGAAAAAAGTAAAAGGAAACATTTTCCCCCAGAATTTACCCATAAAATATCAAAACAAGTTAAAATGGATATAATGTATTCGTCTCACTGATATTCATGTACTCTGTGTTATGATCCTATTTAATTAGGCATAAAATCCCTCTCTGATGTTTACTTCTGATTTTCTCAGAGCTGCAGTTAACATCACTGATTCGTATTATAATAATTGATGGGGGGTATTTACCAACAAAGAGGATTCTGGGAACATAATAGCCATCAGGAGCCAGATGCTTGTCCCCGGTTTCCTCCTGTAGAAGAACAATAATCACAACAATTATAATAACCGCCAATGTTAAATGTGTTAATTTACACAGAGCCAAAATAGAGTATGAAACCATTGCACTTACAGAATGTACCTAAATAAACATTAACACTAATCTGAATAGATTTTCCAAAAAAATTGCATTAATAATAACATATCTAGAAGTGTCATGACCAATAACATTTTTTTATACAACATAGTTTCTCCTCAGTGTATGTATAATATGTTACTTACCACCACGTTAAGCATGATGAAGTCATCTTTGGCCATTTTCTGGATGGACTTATGAGCAACAAATGCCTCCTTCAGAGCTGTTAAATAATTACATCTAGTCTGAGAAATTTAACTGGATATGATATGATAGTAATGACAAAAATAACAATAAATAAAATCCAGGTTTTACAGGACATTTTTAAAATACACTAACCTATAAATGTAAATGTATGACAGTTGAATTTAAATTGACAGTGCTCTACACGCTTTTGGGCATTCCTGGCAAAGATGTGTAAAAGAAAACCCTGAATTAATTGTGCAATACCCAGATTTAAATTAAATTTATTTAAATCTGGGTATTGCACAATCAATTAACATGTTACAGTACTGTGAGAGATCTGTGTTTCTGGGAACTTTGTTAAAATCTTGGGCATCTAGGGAGCTTCTAAATAAAAATCTGCTCAATTGAGCTAGAAAACTGAAAATGAGGTCATGACTGGGTCTTTTGGCAGGATAATGATCCAAAAATGGACAAATTAACATAGAAATGGTTCATTTGACATAAAATCCACCTAATCTCATAGAGATCTCAGTCCTTAGTCCTAAATCCTATACAAAATACTGAGACGAGATGAAGAAAATAAAGTAGAGGACCCAAGTCTCTGGATGATCAAGAGAAAGAAATTCCTCAAAGACCCTTCTCTCCATTAGGACCACCAAGTTTTCCTGGTAGGTCTGTCAGTACTTTGTATAACAAAATCTGGTGTTTCTAGTTTAACGTAGGATTTTTATACTCTTCCACTGAATAAACTTCTTTTTGCTAGGCAATACGCATTTAAAAGGCCTTTTACACCTCTTTACAAAGGATGCCAATAGAAGTGTAGTTCAAAAAACAAAACTGAGACCCAGCTCTGCTTTATTGTTGAGACTTCTACCCACCTCGCCTCCAGAAAACCAACTGAGTGATTTATAACTAGAAATCCAACATACTTCATTACCTACACTGCAGGGAATCGGGGACAAAAGCACTGAACTCCCCGTGAAGTCAAAGTAGCCACAATAACAGAGGGTATGCAGATCTGCATCTATACGTGTAAATTATTATTATTTTTTTCATTGAACAAAACCAAAGTTCTACAGTACCTTTACTGTGTGGGCAGTTCTCTAGATGATGAATGACTATCAGTGGTTTCTGACTGCGAAAATAAAACCAGTGAATCAACTCAGTGGGTTCTTCAGCACAGTAAGCACACTGAGGGTGTAAATGCAATTAATCTATTGACAAATTGAGGTGCAGTGGCAAATTTTACATGATTAATGACTTTATAAAGCCAACTGTTTACCTGTGTGTGATAAGAAAAAAAAAGCTACATTGAAAAGAAGACAATCTTATCATGCAGTCAAAGAATGGGTTCAAAGTCCTACCTCTTGGCACTTTCTGCCAGGCCCTCTTCATAACTTTTGACCCATTTAATATTTTTCCCCCATCCTGAAGAAGAAAAGAAAAAAACAAAAATCAACATGGTGCCACCAAGTAAGTCTGCAAAAGGTTTAACAGAGTATTTCCAAATCAGCTAATTTTAGACTTTAATTCAGTCTTGTGATGAAATCAATCTGCTCAAACTGAACTTCACCTCTTGACGGGGTCGGAGGCGCAGTCTTCGCCTTTTTGCTCTGTGCCTCAGCAATGGCACAGAGGCTGATGAACAAAGCAAGCACGACCCAGCGAAGCATCGCTCCCCGACCTCTGAGAAAACCACAGTAAAAATCGACTGTTTAACATGAGTGTCAGGTGTGGCGTCTCCGCCCAAGCACATGACTCACTGAGCATAGGGCACCAAGAACCTTACAAATTATTGCAATTATAGTAATTGCGATAACAAGAAAGGTGTAAAATGCTTGTTAATAAATCAAATACAAAAATAACAATTTTATTCAATGAAAGGAAGAATCCTCCACCGTGTGGTCTGTTCATTTAGCTCAATCTGAACCTTCCTGCTCCACGGGCTGTTCACATTTCAGGTTTGACAGGTAAGCAGGAGTTGAACGTGTGCCAGATTGAACGCACACGCCTTGAATTATCGTTTGTTCATTTTCCATATCAGTTGGGAAATGAACAACCAGGGTGGAAAATACCAACACTAAAGTGCTTAGAACTGAAAACAAATATGAAGAATATTATGCAGTGAAAACATGAGAAATGATCCCATGTCCAGCCTGTTACATCTGTTCTTCAAAAATGATTTAGTTTGAATGGCAGTGGTAAAGTCTGTCATTCTAGAATAATGTGAAGTTCTGAAGACTTTGATGACTTTTGATTTTACATTTTTTTCTCAGAGTCTGCTTTTTGCAGACACCTCTCTGCCAGCATGCCTAGGTGGGCCCCATGTGGGGAAAAGGAGGGCATGCCATATGGGCCCCATATGGGTTTGTCCGCGGGTTCCACGATGGCCCCACATTGGTTTGCCCATGTAGGGTCACAGCCCACATGGGTCCTACTTGGGCCATGTGGGCTGTGGTGGTGGCCCACATGGGTTTGTCCATTTAGTGCCCATGTAGGGCCCATGTGGGCTGTGGCCCTACATGGGCAAACCCACGTGGGGCCATCATGGAACCCGCGGACAAACCCATATGGGACCCATGTATCAGCCCTGGTTTCCCCCACATGGGGCCCACCTAGGCATGCTGGCTGGGCTTTTACTCCATAAGGTGTCTGCAATTCTAATTTGTTCACAACATTGTAGAAAAGCAAAGTATGGATTCATATAAAACAAACGCAAGAAACATCCTTGTTTAAAGATGTCAGCAATGGAATTGCTGACATCTTTAAGGAAGAATAAGAAAAAAATGCATAAAATCGACAAATCTTGAGAACAAGTTCAACATTTATGTTTGTAATGACTCAAGCAATGAAATGGGGATGATTAGTTTTAGAGAGAATGACTATTTAGCTCAGCTCACTGTCATAGACCATTTTGACTGACATAAACAAATGATATCATAAAACAGCAGAGAATTTAAATGATGCAGGTCCTAAGCGATCTGAAATGTAGAAACTCCTACGGTAAGCACAAAGGACCAAGTGTTGTGGATGTTTGAGTTATGAGTATTTTAATTTGATCTGAAAAATGCAACAAAGCAATTTAGGAAAAAAAACATCGTAATAAATTCTTTCTAATGAATCTTTCTCAAGAAAATGAGATTTGTCATGATTTTATAAGGTCAGTTTCCTTTGTGAAGTCAGAAGCTTTTTGTTGTTTTGGAGGATTTGCTTCAAACAAATACTACATGTGAAAACAGCATAAAGATAAGTCTTATTCTAACAGTATTCAATGAGTCACACTCTTTGTTGTTACATCTCATTCATTAGATTACCATTATTTCCTCATTTCAATTCCACAATTTTTTTGGGTGAGTCTTAATTTTCCAGTGGTAAGTAGAGGGAAATGGACTCAGACTAATTCAGAATTATTGTAAAATTTCAGGGAGGTGAGCAACACAAAGCGTTTGTACTGAGTGCACCCAAATGGCTAGCAATGCTACCAAGTGTCAGTGTCGTGTCCATGTCAGAGAAGTAAGACTAGTTTTAAAACTTCAAAGATATTCAATATTGAATCACTGAACAAGTAAGACAAGCCTGGAATTCATGTCATAAAAAGAGCAACAATTTTAAACATTTTTGAAGTGTTTCCTTAAAGTGGATGTGATAAACATCTTCCCTTACTCCTGTATTAACAATTTCCTTGCAGAGCACTCTTGTGCACATCACAATTGCTTCCTTTTCAACATTCAAAATGGAGAAATCATGATTTGTGTCACAAATGATGATTCACATAGAAATCTACTTCTCAATAATTTATTATTTCATTTTTGTTGCCAAAAAACCCCCATCTTAGCTGAGGCCAGAAATTAACAAGTACAGCCAAATTCTTTACAAATCCAACTATCTTTTAATCAGCTTTTCATGTTCTAAAAGATAACATGAATGTTTTCACAGAAAAAACAACTCAAAATTCTACTATTCTTGTCTTTTGTAGATGGTGGATGTCTTACCTTGTCAGCATGAAGCAAGAGTCTGTGCTTGTTCGCCTCAATGACTTCCCTTTTGTCGGTTTTCTTTTAGCTAAACTTGCCAAACAGGTATTTATATAATAGTTTGAAATGACTATGAAACAAAGAGAAAATGTTACTCACTAAGAAGCTATTATATGTATGCGCACACAAACACACCCATAAATCCTTAGTCGGATGTTCAGAGAAAACCAAACACAACATACCAACAGTTAAGTTCGGTGGTGGACAGGTGATGATGTGAGCTGGTTTTGCTGCCACACGACCTGAACAACTTGCAGTTAATGAGTCCAACCAACAGTGCCTCTGAATATCAGAGTAAAATACAGAAGCATCGCTAGGTCAGGTTTAGCTAACAACCTCACTTTACTGTAACAGGAAGGGTGGGAAGATAAAATGAACTTCAGCAAACCATAAAGGCAAAGTAAGGGCCAAAGGTTTCCTATAACTGTCAGAAACAGATAAGGATTACTACCAGAAGACTTATTTTTGGTTTTGGTTCAGATAAGCAAAATGTATTATTTTTATAATATCTGCATCATTAAATTTGTTTTGATTTTTATATGAAAGAAAAACAAATTGTAGTTTTGTTCTAAGGTTTTAATATAAAGAAACTCATGAAAGTTTATTATGAAAGGGAATTTATGTAACTTCTTTAATGATCATATTTGATTATATGATAAAGCAAGTAGTTTGCAATCTGAAGATAAAAAGCCCCAATCCCAGCATTTATTTGTTACAAAAATATTTTAAAATATTGCTCAGCTTTATCATTCTTTCCCAAACTTATCAAGAGCCACACTGGAAGGTCCAGAGAGTCACTTGAAGTTCTTGTTTCAGACCCCACCCTAAGAGTATAGCTGCTAAAGTTCATTTCACAATGATTTAAAACATGACCTGTGGGTTAATGGTTGTATATCCAATGACTTTGTGAACAAATAGATTCAGATACATCTAGTCTTAAAAACCATGGAATTTGCTTTAATCATTTTTGAACACTGGTTATGTATTGCAAAAATACAATCAAGTAGAAAAACATATTTTCATTTCCATATTTCATTCTTTATTGTATTATCTAAAAAAAACTGTGTTAAATTGCTTTAAAAAGTAACTATAAAGTTTTTTTTAGTAACTATAATCAATAAATATATTTTATACCTTATTTGTCACATAAACTTTTATCAAACTCTGTGATAGAAAGGAAAATTTCTCCTCTTTTTAGCCCCTTTTACATTAGCGTTTGGACTAGGAATCTGGATGCCTGACGTTTTTCTTGGACAGTTTGCTCCTTTCCAGCTATGTTTCCAAATGGCACACATGCTGTGCAACATTAACAGGATTCACTTTCAGGAGGCCCGAGAGACACTCATGTGTTGCAAAACCTATAACTATAAACACTATAATGGATGCATCTTTTTTTTTCTGGAAAAGTCTTTTGTGATGTGATTTTACTGAAAAAAAGATGTGCAAATATTTTTTTTCCAGGCCAAAAGCATGAATCATGTTAAGAACAATAGTTTTGTTTAATAAAACTCTCTACAGTGAGTTAATATGCATCTGGTCTTTTTGTATAGTAGTCTAAAATTGATGTGAATACTCCCCACAAAACCTGCAGCCACAAAAATGCGGTAAAAACCCAACATTTGTGTCGCTGCAAAACATTTTGGTCATCACTAAAACCTAGTTAGCTAGCTGTTAGCTGTTGCCATAGAGATAGAATACATTGCGAGGGTAAGCTCTTTACGCATGCGCACTTTTCATAGTAGCGATGCACTGTGGGATTTCTGTGTATTGACATAGCAACCGGGCCAAGGAGTCGCCGCCGCCAAGTATTTTTGTCCGGATTAGTTTTTGCTTCAATTTCGTTGCTGGAAGTACGCTTTCCACCGCTGCCATGAACGCGGCGGTGGCGAAAAAGACTCAGGACACGCTGGGAAAAGTGATAAAGAAACCCCCGCTGACGGAAAAACTGCTGAGCAGGCCGCCGTTTCGGTACCTTCACGACATCTTCAGCGAGGTGAGCCTCTAACGGTGAAGACATTTTCACAGTTGCTGGTCATATTTGAAGCGACCACTGCGTCTTTAGCTAACTGGTCTTATCCGAATTCACAGAGAAACAGTTACGGCGGCTAATATTAACTTGAACGTAACAGTTAGCCTGCATTAAACAACGATAGCGCTCTGGTAGGTATCAATTGTAGCACGAAGAGCAAGTGAGACATTGCAATCTCTAACCAAACAGTTGCTAAACCGCGGTGTTTAGCGACGTTACCCAGTTGCTATAGGCACAACCTGAACCCTGGCAAGGATAAACTACTTAGTCCGCAGATGGATAACTGCTACTCTAACACTGAGTATGGCAGTCTCAGTAATAAGTCAGCTAAATTAGTCTGGGCTGTTTACCCATTTCACGGTGGCAACCCTGATGCCCAGCAGCTTATTACAGCTGGTCTGTTGGGTAATGCAGATTTACGTTGAGCTGCCTGAACCGCATGAAACGTTGCAATAGAAGATTTGACTTAAGAAAGTCAAGTAAAAGTACTTTTTGTTCTTACTTTTTTTTTTTTTAACTTTCGGGACAGTTGTTATGATGCGTAACCATGGCAAAAAGGTAACTGATTAGCACCTCAAAAGCTTAAATAACACCTGTCCTGGAGTATGACCCCTTAGTTGAAAAAGAAACTTAATTGATGCAAGATGGAACTAAAGAGCAGACAGAGAAGGAGGAAGTTGAAATCACCTCTTCCATTGATCATAACAGGCAAGCATAGTACCCCCAACAAGAGCATTTCTGCCCAGATTTCTAACCATACAACCAGACAGAGATTTAAAAGGGAGTTGCAGAAGCAAATGAGCAAGCAGTGCTTGCCAACAACTGATGGTGTCATCCAGGACATTTTACTTTGGAATATTGTCCCTGCTGCCTGGAAATTGAGCTGTTAGACTATGTAGACATAGACAGATTTTATTGTCATTCAACTGTACATTTAAAAATGTACAAATTGAAAGAAATGTCATGACAGTTATGACAGTCACAGCTTTCAGTCAGAGGCCTCTTTACATTCGTTGTGAGTCTGACTTCTACAGCAGATCCGTCCTGCCCACAGCCTCACCTTCTACAATGACTCTTTAAAGCTGCTTTGATGAGATGAGTAATAATATTTAGCTTCCCTTTGGGATGAATAAAGATTTTTTAAATTGAATAAGATTGGGAGGGAATGTTGGTGAACAAACGACATCACAATGACCAAGGACAGCAGACAGGGATAGGTTATAAAACAAGGCAAGCATTGATAAATACATTGCTATTTCCTAACGGCATTTTTAATTTCCACACTTCTATCATCATTGTCCAATCCAAGATGCTTAGTGACTACAGCTGCTTGGCAATTATTTCGTAAGTTAAAGACCAGGAACAGTTAACAACCGCCATAAGATTTTAGTATCTTTTAGACCGTACACCTTAAAACTAATTTTACTTTTGGGCTCAAAGTGACAGATGTTTTTAGTATTGTTTATACAGAATGGAGAGTGTATCATGACATATATCGTCTCAACTTAAATGTTTAAATTCAGACTGTACTTATAAGTTAAGAACAGTCCTCTTTAACATGATGTGTCATACATAAACCAAGTCAGTTGCATTCTTGAGGTGAGATATTTATATTTCACTGTAAGTTCATGCATATTAGATTAAGGTTAGCATTCCTGTAAGTGCCTCATTTACTTTGATTGGCAGGATATCCTGAACCCGTTTCCATTTTAGAGACATGATTTTTTTTTACACTGCATTTTTATTTTAATTATTATTCTCTCTCAAATCTAATACTTTAGCAACCATTCACTATAGGAAGAATTTGTTCTTCTTCATTCACTTGTGAGATACTGGCTACTTCGGTCAAAGTGCTTTAGATTTGTTTTCTTTTGTCCCAAGTGCAATAGAGGAACTCCATCAGTTAGCCTGTGTCTCCATGGTGCTTTAGTAGCTCTATATCATTTTCCCTAATTTAACAGTTATTCAACTGAAATGTTTTATGCCTGTTTCTGAACCTTTTTGTGACAGAACATGGTCAGGTTGCTTTCACTGCTACAAATGAAAAGGTCAATGTTGAGAAACGTGTTTGGGACCAAAAAACAGTTGATTCTAATTCCCTTTCGGGTTGCTACAGTGAATCATTAGTCTCCATTTAGTCCTATCTTCTGCGTTCTCCACCCTCACATCAAGTGACTATTATGTTTCACCACATCCATAAATCTCATTTTTGGTCTTCCTCTCGGCCCCCTCCCCTGAGCTCCAACCTCAGCATCCTTTTACCGACTTAATCATTGTCTCTCTTCTGAACACGTTGATTGATGGACAAAAAGATGTTTTAGATAAAAGTCTCTAAATGTTGTCAGTTATAAAATGATCTGAGCTTTTTTGTTCTTCCAACTTCCAGGTTATCAGGACCACTGGTTTTATGAAAGGCCTGTATGAAGAAAATGAGATGAAGTCAGATAGTGTCAAGGTAAGCTGGTTATAGTGTCAAGGTAAGCTGGTTGTTCTTGGCTGTTTTTCAGCTACTTCTGAAATAGTATTTGGTTTTATCATGTAGTTTGAGCCAGTTTATGTGCTAACTTAATGTTTTGATGAGCAAGCTTGGACGTTTGAGATTCCCCTGCTGTTTCACCGATCTGTCTGAGTGTTGAGTAACCAAACACGAGTGAGAAGGCTGGCAGTGAAGCGCAGAGTGTTTATCGAGGTGTCAGAACTCAGGTCTGCCATTTGCAAGTTGATCCTCGATTAGGAAAGGATGCGTAGAGGCTGCACCAGCTTCTCACCTTACCTTAAATTAATGCTGTTGTGTTAGTTGTTCTAAACTTTGCCAAGAATCAAGTTTATTGGGCAATTTATTAAAATGCTATTCTTTATTTTTTTATATTCAAAGTCTTTAATAATTCTTCATGCATATTTATTCTAAGTACTGTTTTTTAGGTTAGTCAGAAATGGAGCTAGTTTTACAACCAAACATTTACATTTTGGGTCAATCCAGTTGATGGTCACACATTTTTTTAAATCAGGATAAGTATAACGTGACTTAAATACCTTCATTTAAAAAACAAGACAATAATACAGTTATAACAATGTGTCTAATATGTACTTATTGTTACCTTAAAGCGTTATTGAAGGCAGTGATATAAAGTAGATAAGCATAGGAAAACTGTGACCTGCAATTAAAACAACAGGTTGGGGAGGGGGAGTGCTGTTAAGCTCTGCTCCATACAGCTGATCGGTTTTTGGCATCTTATTAAAAGATTTTTTTTATCCATAGAAACATTTTGATTGGAAATTAGTTCAGTTTTTCAAGCTTTGGGAAGCCTGATAATAATAAGCAACTCATTCATGTTGCTGAACAGGTGCAATAATAATAACCTAATAAGCTTTCTACTTTAATCATTTTTTTTGGTCATGTTTTGTTTTGTTGTAGGATAAGGACTCTAAAATGGCCTATCTTCAGAAAGCAGTAGATGTTGTGATGTTGGTGTCTGGTGAACCTCTGGCAGCAAAACCGGCACGAATCGTTGCTGGTCATGAGCCAGAGAAAACCAACGAGTTGCTTCAGGCCATCGCAAAGTGCTGCCTCAATAAGGTACGTCTTTCTGGGAAAAATTTGTTCAGTGTCATTGTTCGTCTACTAATGAGCTGGGTATCGTTATTGAACAACAGTTTAAAAAATGTGGGTTTTATTTTTCACTGTTTGAGAAAACAGTCCAGCTGCCTGAGGGAGAACGGTAAAATAACCTAATTGAACCCTGGAGATGGTGTTAAACAGAAGAGCTGATGCCCCGGGGACAGCTGATCTTTAATGTGGATGTAAACAATTCTTGGTGTTTCTAAAACACCAAGAATTCTTCAATAAAACCTGCAAAGAGAAACTACAAGAAAGATGAGGGAAATTTGAAACAAATAAACAACTAATAAATCATAAACATTCAGGTATCTAGCATGCTTTGTTAGTTTTTAGCCTCTTGACGTCGAGTTCAATGCTAAACGCTGAGATTATTAAACACACACTAAAAACAAACACACAGAAATGAGCATAAATACATAAGACATGTTGTATTATTCTGAGCTTGAAGAATCATGTAGCTATTCAATAGAAGTTTGGATCCCAGTCTTCCCAGTAAGATTTACTGTCATTTACCACAAAATCAGAAAGTTTTACTATTTTTCAGTTTATCAATTAATCTGTTTTGAGTTAAAAAGTAAAACTATTACATTTTGTGGCAATATTTCTAAAAATCTTTTGGTCTCTGATTTAATTTTTAAATGTGCTGCAGAAATATGTGGATGAACAACCAACAATGTTAGGAATTATTCTCCCTCATTAACCGGTTTTTCCTGAACACCTTGCTTTAGTGAGTTCCTTTTTGCTTTGCAGTTATCCAGTGATGAAGCAGTGAGGCGAGTTCTTGCAGGAGAAAAAGTGGACTTAAAGAGCAAAGGGAGCACCTCCAGGTCTCAGGGCAAGGAAAACAGGGATGGAAGGGAACGGCAGCCGGATAAGGAAGTGAGTCCCCTGCCTGCTAAAATATTTTTTAAAAATGTATTCAGTGCTTACCATCTTACCCAGATATTCTAATAATTTATCTGAAGCGCATTCAGTGTTGTTTTCTGATCCCTTCAATTTTCAGGAAAAGAAAAAGATAGAGCGGAGTGGCAGCCGGGAGCATAAGGACTCGAACCAGGGCAAAGAGCAAGAAAGCCGGCAGAGAGACAAAGAGGACCACCGTGACCATGAGCGCACAGAGAGGCATCACCGCAGTGAGAAGGACCACCAAGACGAGAGCCGAGAGCAAGAACGAGAGCGAGACAAAGGACGGGTCAGAGACAAGGAGAAAGACAGGGACAGAGATCGAGACAGAGACAAGCAAAAGACCAGGGAGAGGGATTCTCACAGAGATAGAGGCCAAGACAAACGAAGAGACAAAGACAGAGAGAAGGAAGGAGATCGAAGCAAGGACTGCAATGAAAAAAACACAAGTGGGGAAAGAGAAAATGACAAGGTTTGGTAGCCAAACTTAAGCAAATTTTTAGTTAAGCAAATAAATTCAGTAGCTCATGTGTGTGTGTGTGTGTGTGTGTGTGTGTGTTTACCATCAGGCCAGAGCGCCAGAGAAACCTCCGCAGAAAGCAGCCAAAACTGTGCCAGCAGTAAGTTCTCTCCTTTTATGGTAGATTGCTCATTTTTCATGTTTACATTTTGGAAAAATAATTCAACTTAATTCAAAATGGTGATAAACCTCTCATCACTTCTTTTTTTTAAGGATCCAAAACCAGTTGAAGAGGTAACAAAGTTTGCAGCCATGAATGTGTTTGTTGCACGACTTTTGGATAGTTTTTTTTTTTTTAGCAAATTTTTTTTTTTTTTTTTAATTTGCTATTATATTAGTTTTTTTTGGCGTTTGTGCTCAGTGCTGTAGCAGCTTTCATTTTAACATATTAACATGATGGTTTTGTGTGGATGATTCAACTAAAGCCATGTTGCTGTGCTCTTTCTTCAGCCCACAGATGTAGCAGAAAACCAGGTAGGAACATAAAGACGCTTGTAGACGTAGAGTGGAGTAATTTAGAAAAGAAGTCACATATGCTTTATCAGAATTCTATAAAAAAAACAGATATTTTCTTTTTTTTCCTTGTTTTACAGTCAAATAGTCCAGCTAGGATACCCCGGCCCTCGTCTGCCAAAGGCCAGAGGCAGAAACCCAAAGTTGGAACCAATGGTAAAGGCTTTGAAAGCTTTATTCCAATGTAAAGCAAAGCGTCCAATGGATACATACACGCAGCTTATAGAGTTACATTGAGTTACTCATCTGTTGGAAGAATCCATAATACTTAATGTAATTGAATGGAAATGAATAAAGGGATTCTGCAAATATGTTTTTCTATGAATGATTTGAAGACCCCCATTATGCTAATTATGTCTTTGTTCCATACTAAAAGAGATGCTTTGGTATGTCATGACTTTTCATTTGTTCCTTGCAGCAGATGAGTCTGACAGTGAAGGAGGTAAGCGTTTCCTCGTTAACATGGACCTCCTTCTCATCACTAAAGAATAATGTTCTGTGTCTGTGAATTACCTGATTAACTTAATTGGAATTGGTTTCCGCATAAAAGTGACCATACCTGTTGAATCTGTGAAAAAAAATGTTCATGTTTTTTTTTTTTTTTTTTTTTTTTTTTAGATGAACCAACACATTTTGGCTCATAATTGGGAAGCTGAAGGAAAAGTACATACAACCTTCAAAAATATGGAATGCTTTTTTATTTAGCCCCACTAAGTTAATACTTACAGTCAGTTTTCAATGAAATTACAGCAGCAATGTGGATGAACATGGTTTGATCTAAACTATTTCATTTATCCACAGTGTTTGCTGATTTCTCTGGTCTTCATGATGCTGTTTAATATTTTTTTGGTAAACCTCTAAAACCTTTACTGAACAAATGTGTTTATTTACTAATTATATAAGTTATGAAGATATATGCTTGCACTGATGTGTTTTTTTCAGAATACCTTAGTGAAAGGGGCTAAATATAAATGCAACCACAATTTTCAGATTTTTTTAAATATAAAATCTGAAACAAATAAATAAAAAAACATTTTTTTTCCTTCTACTTCACATTTATGATCCATTTTGCTGTTTTAAATCACATAAAATTCCAATAGAATGCTCTGAAGTTTTGGGTGAAATGTGACAAAAGGTGAAAAACCCTCCAGGGTTATAATTAGTTCTGCCAGATTACGCCGACTCGCATCTCTCCTGTTCAGTAAACCGAAGAGGCCAAATTTACTGATATCTCCTCATCTTCAAGGAAATCCTAGCAGCTATGATAATTACTGCCTTTTCTTTTCTGAGCAAGTCAGTCAGGTTTTATTTGTAACGCAAAGTGTTGAACACAAAGTCTCGCTGCCTGGGCGTTTACTGGTCCAAACGTACCTATCCAAACTCAGACTGGGCTGGGTGTGCAGTAGAACGGGGGGTAATAGAGTTTACAAAGCAAACAGAAACCAGACAGTCTGCAGTGAAAAGTAGTTTAACCTGTTAAAGGTGCATGAATCTCATGAACTCTGGTGTTGTGTTTCAATATTTTGTATTCATAATGTGGAATGTAGGCAGAGATTTAAAGAATACACTAAACTATCACTATATTTGATCTTGTCTTATATTTGGCCCTTTTTTCACTTTGATTAACCTCAATGAGAGTTGGTGGGTGTGGTCAGATAAATCTTTTCCTCCCACTTTGAGTACGTTGAGTCTGTTGATACAGTGGCAAAAATGTAATATGCGGAACACGCCCTCATGTTTATTGTGGTTTTAATTTCGCTGTTGAGTGAAGCAATAGTCAAAAATTACAACGTGTGAAAATTTTATTTATTTAAGCTCTTTATTAAATATAAGAGCTTATTGATTATCTTAATGCTGTTGGGAGGGTTGTTGCTTTTTTCTTGTTTATACAGGAAAAACTCAATAATAACCTGAAAGATGTGTAAAGCTTCTGTGCAGAGAAAATAGCCAACTCCTCAAAAATTTCTCCACCAGGTTTAAGTCTGTTTTTTTTTTTTTTTTGCTGTAACCTCTCTACAAGTTTTTCTTTTTTTTTTTTTTTTTTAGGTGAGCAAATGTAGAAATCCAGCAGTGAATCAACAGTTCAACTCCTGTAGACCCCTGGTGGTCTACAGGGTCATGCATTTTCAGATATTAATTTACTTTTAAAAGAATAAAAATGTGCAGAGGTTTTAGAAGGAATTAAATGGCATCATTAAATTAGTAAGACTTTGTTAGAGTTGTGGTTTTAAGGATGCTAATCAAGGGTTTGATCTCACTTTTCTGTCCAAATTGAATCCCTTTTTTTCCTTGTCCACGCACAGACGGAGACGTCCAGTTAGCCCAGAAAGCCGTCCCTCAGGAGAACGGAGACTCTGAAGGATCCTCTGTGCCAGACAAGGCTGCTAGGTGTGTACAGTCAATATTTACTGGATCTGCAACAATAACCGCTGGACTTTGCATTATCCTTTAAGCTCCAAAGTCTAAATGTAGTCATTCGTCTTACTGTTACATTGATATGACTATAAAACGTTTATATCCAGATTGTTGTCCCAGTTCTTACTTTACAGGTTGAAAACTTTGGAAATCCTCTCCCTTTGGCTGACTAATCATGATTGGCCTGTTAAGCTGCTGTAAAACCGCAGCTGTTATTAATATTCTGAGTGTTGGCGGGCAGAGCCGTCATCCTCCTGACGTTTGGATTCTTCTGACATCTGGCAGATCTCGCACACGTTTCCGTGTTGTTGTGCTCAAAATAAGCTGTGAAAATAACAGCTCATAAAAAGGAAAACCTGCTGTTGGTGTTTTTGAAATACTTTGTTTGCGGTTTTCATCCTGCAGGCAAGTGGCTCGGCCAAGCAGCGCCCGCCCAGCACCTCCTCGAGTCAGGAGACAAGAGAGCAACGCTGAGGTGACCCCAGCTGAGAGGTGACCTCATCGTTCCAATTACCGAATGTTTGTCCCGTTATGGTGCCTTGTAAAAGTATGCACACCCCTTGAATCTTTTTCTCATTCAAAAAAACTTCCAACACTTAAAAAAAAAAAAAAAATGTTCTGCTGAACATACACCTGCAACTCATTTGTAGTATTTTTCTAGCTGTATCAGTCACTAGAAAGCAGGGCTGCAACTAATTATTATTTTTGTAATTGATTATTCTGACAATTAAGTCAATCTTATTTATATAGTACATTTCATCAATAAGGCAGTTCAAAGTGCTTTACATCATAAAAAACATTATACCATCATCAATTATGAAACAAGTAATAGACATTACATGTTGTCAAATGCCGTTATCAAAATCATCAATCAAACACACATCAGATATGTTGATCAGTGTTTCAGTTGTTTCTAATCGAAGGCAACTCTAAACAGGTGGGGGTTTTAAAGGAACTTGGCGTCTCAGAGGTTTTGTCGTTTTCTGGAGGCGTACTTGTGGGGAAAAAAAAAAAAAAATTATATTTATCCACTACTTTTGCTTTGTCTGTTGTATTCAATCCCAATAAAACACATGAAAGTTTGTGGTTGTCACATAAGACATATTGAGAAGTACAAGGCGTATCAATGCAAGGTTTGTTCGACTTGGCCCTGTACTGTCCCTGACTTTTGTCCAGTTTGAAAACTTCTTAGCAAAACAATTTAAACTGAACTCACTGCACTGATTAAAAATGCTTCTTCAATGCCAGTTCTCAGTACGACTCCTGTTTTTAAGGCTGTCGAGTGCCAAGCCCACAGCTCCCATTATACTGGACGGGAAGAGAACGTCAGACGATGAGGAGGACGAAGACGAACAGTTCCTGGTGATGGAGGCCGTCACCCCACATCCAGATTCTCCTAAAACAGAGAGAGTGGGTGACATGATCATTCATGGTTATGATTGTGAAGTTAAAGTCCAGAAATGATCAGCAATATTTGTTTATGACAGGAAGCTGCACATGAACTCGACGCTGATGAAAAACACGGTGAATGATTTAACTTCTTCAGCTCTTGAAGAATTACAAACTTTTTGCTTTTCGAAGCTGAATTTTGTCCTCTAATGCAGGTGGACTCGTGAAAAAGATCCTTGAAACAAAGAAGGACTACGAGCTGACTCTGTCCTCGTCAAAGTCTAAAGAACAGGTTTGTAATTCAAACATTTAATTTTCCAGATGTCCACTAGAGGGCAGTATTAGCCAAGTTCTGTCTGGACCAGTCCTGTAAGCCTTTTCTTTCTGGGAACCCTATTTTAACCACAGGCCCTGGTGCAACACTGGCTTTTATCACAAAAAAAAGATGTAAACAAATGGAGTGAGGAGGTGGAGGTGTAATTGCGGTGCCTCTAAACCACAAAAATGTTCCCTTTCAGTGAAGGTGAAGGGCTAATAACCATGCAAGCAGCCATGGCCCCTTGCAGACCACACACACTATTGATCCACACATCTAGATGTCTGGAGCAAAAATGAGTTGTTTGGAACATTTCTGTTATTTGAAATTGTTCAGCTTAGCAAGGTTCTCTGCTCAATTAGGAAGCATCGTAAAGCATGTGGGAGAAAGATTTTAGAGCATTTGTTTTTTTGTTTTTTTTGTTTGTTTTTTTTTCTTTTTTAAATCCTAATGGATTCTAAGTCCATGTAGCTAAATTTAGTCTTTATTTACAGACCTAGTAAAGATGCATAGACAGCCTTCAACTAAATGTAATGCAACAGGATAGTCTCACAGTGAACCAGCTGGAAAATTCAAACTTTAATTTTGTTACATATATCAATAAGGAAGGGAATCACACATGAAATAACAAAGTCAGATCTTTGAATATTTCTTGTTACATAATCTCTCTAGATCCCATGTTCTTCCTTATTTCTTTAGCTCAACTCAACGGTTTTGTTCCGGTGAAACATTTCTGTGTTAATTCATTTTAATTTCCAATCTGCTGAACCATGCCCACAGCATCATAGATCCTCTACCCTGCTAAATGGTGCGTTTCTACTTAAGTTTTGTTAAAAAGCTTGATCTTAGACTCATGTGATCCAAACCCAAAGCTCCAACAGCGTTGATCAAACTCCACGTTTATGTTAGAGTGAAAACGCCTCTTCCTGATATTGTTCCCACGCAGATGGCTGATATGTATAAAGGCTCTTGTCCAGACCAGTGATCTGTGTCACATTATTTATAGATTCTCCCTGTATGATAGTCTTGAGCAGCAATATCACCATATTGAGATGAAAATAAATGCAATCAAAAAGAAAATAATATAAAAATATTTTTATGTTATTTTTATATCATAAGTCACCATCTTATTTCTATTTTTTAGGTTTCAAAAATAAATATTAAACTTTCGGAAAAAGAGGTTAACATCTTTCCTTCCTAAGAATGTCTGTATTTATGGAAAATTGTGGAAATCCTATGCTGATTTTTCCATTACAAACATAGATTTTTTTTTTTTTACAAGGTTTTTAAAAGGTTTACATAAAAAAAAAAAACTATTTCTACATTTATTAAGAGTGACTTTTTGCTCTGAAACTGCAAGGCTGAGAGGGGACGCAGCCAGCTGTGGAAGCAGTCAGGGCTGCTCAAAAGGGAACAATGCAGCAGCTGTAACACCGCAAGACATTTTCCCGGAACATTTCTGACACTGCTTGATATTCATTGTAAGTTACAAGAGAAATAGATTTGTGGTCGCTGCGCCCATCACTCTTAGTGACCACAAAGTACAGATTTAATCTCACAACCAATGATTTTCCTTTCTTGACAGTGTGAAAGTGATGGAAACCAGAAATATAGAATAAACATTCTAAATTTTAGTTTTCTAGTGGTTATTGGACAGAAGATTATATCTTTCTGTCATTCTGCTCTTTATGGAGTAACAGAAATATATGAAGTCGATGCAAACAAGACGTAATTGAGCTTCAGCCACTTTGTGCAAAGCGTGAAGATTAGTGATTCAACTCCATCTGTGTCTTTGTCAGAATCTAAGTGAGCACAACAACGGTGCAGGTAATCACAGACAACCTGGCACAGGTGTATGAAATTTATTAGAGCCACAAAAAAGTCACGCCACAGCAAATTTTCCTGGACAATAAATTGAAAAATAAACTTTCACACAATAAAAAATTAGCTAAGCGTATCAATAACCACTAACAGAAGGACATATAGCAAAAATAAAACAACCAATATTAGGGAAAACTAGCAGAAAAAAGTAGCAACAACATGACAGAACACATGACAGATATTTTATATATTATGGTGACTTTAGGTGGTTAAACAGTTATTTGTGACTATCTGCTGGCATAGTACCAGCAACAGCAAGAATTACCTTGATAAGAAAGTTCATTGGACTCCTTCAGTTTTCACACCATGACTGGTCATGTTTTTCCATTTTTAAACAGCCAAATTAATGTAGTCTGTAGTGATTTTTGAAATATTTAATATAAATATGAAATGTAATTTAAAAAAATATAATAAAAAAAAAAAACTTCAGTTATTTTTGGTTCCAGTAATTGTGGCGTAAGATTTTGTTAAATAATAAATAAATAAATGAATTGCTAACACAGAAGAAATAAGATTTCTTTTGTTTATATTAATGAAGGCCTATTGTCCTATTGCTAGCACTGTTTAGATTCCCCTCTGTACGCCAGAGAAAGTGCTCTTTCATCAATATTTGGAGTTTAAAAGCGTTTGAAGCTTACAGTTTGGTCTGAGCTCCGCGGTGTGAGGCGGTGTATGCTGTCTGAGTTGGGTGGTCCCCTTCACTGGAGCATGATGCCCTGCATCCCATCCTAGCTGACCACCCTGGCTGTGATGGATGAAGTGTTTTGAGCTGTCACTCATGCAGAAAGGCCGCTGATCTATTTCTTCCTAACAGCGACCTCAGACAGCATCACTCGTAACTCGCAGCTGAAGCCAGCGAAGCTTAGCCAGCGGTAAACTGAAACTGCTCATCGGAAATTTATGGACTCAGGATTGAAAAGTTGTGTGTGTTAAATGTTGTTTATGTGCAGCTCACGACCTCAATTGTAAGTTCAAACTCATACAGACAAAGCAGCTCTTTGAGTAACATGAGCACAGCTTTCTGGAGATTATCCTAATTTCCTCAATTTTTGGGGCCTTCAGGCCTTGGTTTCTCAGTGTTGTGCCTGGTCTGAAGGTCCAGCTTGCTGCAGGTACGTCCATTTATAGGAGCCGGTTGTTTAGGCCATCCCTCAGCCACTGCTGGCCTTGCTTCGTCAGCTGTATAAAGAACTATAATGACTTCCTTCCTGACATGAAAAAGCATCGAGGTCAGCCTAATGGACCTCTGCCTTTCCTTTTTTATATTGTAATCATAGTGAAACACAAAAATGTAAACTCTGAGCGTCCCCTTTGCTCTTTGATTTAACTGATTTATTTCTAAAATGCTGATGTTTACAGAATATGTATGTCTAACTAAATTTAGGCCTTTATTTTATTTATTCCATTTGTGTCATTAGAAAACCCCTTAAGTTTAAACAGTTGCCTGGTTATATTTTCCTCTTGCTCCTTCACTGTATGGGTAGCTGGAGGATAGTCAGTATATTTATGGGTTGACCCTCATCACGACCCCTCAGCAGCCGTGTATATTATTCCAAGATAGTTCTCCTTTTGTTTTGACACAGTTTGCCCTTTGCTACAGCTGCGTTTTCATTGGAATTTTTTTGTATTCTTCTTTTTTTTCTTTTTAATTGCCTCTCTCCACTGGTTCTTTACCCCATCAAATTAGCCTTGATGAAGGTCTATAATGTATAAATAAACGGTGTGGCATACAAATGGATGGCTGTTGAGTGAGAGTCACGGAGGAGAAGGGCCAGGATACTCTCTACTGGATTGTCAAGAAAATAAATACCCCTCTCTGCAGACCTCTGTGTCTTCATAAACATCCAGGTTTTTTATGTGGAACCATGAGGAAATGACCCAGTGGTATTGGATTTTTGAGGGGCGATATTGACTTGCTGAAGAATTGTTTTCTGCTATAGACAAACCTACTTCAAATCTCTTTAGTTTTTCTCTTTTTTGCTTTTTGTTTCTTTAGATCGTTTCTCTCGTTTGAGTGCTTCATAGTTTGGGATTAGTTAAGAGATTCCTTGTTCACCCCAGATGTCAAAAGGTTGATCTTCATCGTCTCCCCAGGGGGCTACTGTGACCTTAGAACAACATCCTGTAACCTCAGTGCTCCTTTCCTCACTTCACTGGCTCTGAGCTATTTTCATTATCCAGTTAGCTTTTTTTATTAACACATGGCACATAAACAACACTCTGAGATCCTTTGAAATTAGTTTTCTTCAGGATAAAAACTCTTTAGCTCAAAATTACACTAGCAGCAAAAATAAGATGCTCCTACTTGCTCCTGAAGTTATAACACATGGTTTGCACTTCCTTCATCAGCTGTGATGATCTTAAACTGCCCGAACTTAATTTTGCCACATGCTTTTCATTTGTAAACTTTATTGCTTTTCCATTGTTTTCCCACCCTTGAACTTGGGTTAAACTCAAGAGATATGTCATCATCTTTATGCCCAAGGGAACCCAGGAGCGATGATGCTGCATTGGGAACGCCAAACTCAGGCATCAGTACAGAGCCCGATGGCCACCCAACAAAAGTATTGATAGCAAAATCTCCAGCTCAAATATGAGTTCCTAAAGTGAAGATTGATGTAGCGATTTATCCTGTGGTGAGAAGAAATTCAAGAAAAAATGTATCTGAGAGCAGTAGCTCGGAAAACTAACAAACTGACTTCCTACAGAGTGACTTAAAATCACCATAGTGAATCCAGGTTGCGTGTAATTGACCACAGTTGTAAATAACCGCTTGCAACAGTGGTTATAGAGTTTAGCACAGTGAAATTCTATCAACTTTCAGACAAACATTATAGTTTTGCCTCTGGCTCTGACCAACATTCTCACTCTCATGTACACAGACATGCTTGAGAACCTTCTGCACTGAAACTTGCAACTCAGTGATTGTGTAAGTCTCATTTTTCTCCACTTCATCCAGTCTGTATTTTACTTGAGTTCACCTGCTTTAAAGTAATGTTGATTTCAAAACGTTACTCTGAGGTGGCAGTCACCACACACACATCATTTCATTAAGTTTCCAGCAAATACTTTCTTCCTTGACTTTCTTATTTAAGAACACATGCTGTCCTGCGGGGTGCGTTTTAAAAATTGCCTATCATCTAAAGTGTGATAATAAATTCACTTTAAATGACAATAATTAGAAAACATAAATGAATGGTTGTGTGCAGTTTAAATTTCTCTAAATGAACGTTTTCTCTAATTTTTTTGTTTTCCCAGCTAATGGTACCCTAAAGGTTGCTGTAGCGTCAACATTTTTCTCTGCTTGAAAGCCATTTTTCCTGTCAAAGAGTCTTTGTAGAATGTTTTTCTTTCTCCCAGAAAATCCCCAAAAGCAGTCCATAAATCACATTTTCAGGACATATTTCCTCGTGAAGCAAATTAGGCATGTGATGACAGGAGGAATTTCCTATTGAATTGTACATTTTGTGTTATACAGTTCCCCTGGAAAAGACGTAGTAAAAAAAAAGCTTAAAATAAACTCATTTTGTCGTCTCACGCTGAAAGCTCCAGAATAATCCAAGCTTGGTTTTGGCACATTTATTCCGTTGGGGAAATAATTGTTTCAAGATAACTGGTGCAACACTTATTGGCATCACTAACAACTCATATAAAATTAATGTAACCGGATTATTTTTTATAGACATCCTTTGCTTTTTTTAACTTGATCTGTATTTCTGACCTTGGTGCCCTGTTTCCTTGAAGTTTAAATGTGGCATAAGACATTTTAGCTACTGTTTAGAATCAGGAAGACATGAGAAGTAGTCATTTACACTAGTAAAATGTGTGTTAGTCTAGATGAGTGAGGAAAAGAAAAATGGATCCTGATCCATACTAATAATTTTTGAAAGTCAATCTGCTGGTGTTTCCTTAGATTGAAAACTTTTTTTTTTTTTTTACTGATTTGAACAATAAATCCAACTTGACTGCACTATTTGATAACTAGGATTAATTGGAACTTATGTATGATTTGATTGAATTATTTTGCTAAAAAGTGCCTCAAGATGACATGTTCTGAATTGACTCCATACAAATAAATTGAATTGTATCCAGTCAGAATGTCACAAACACAGATATTGTTCTACTATAAAACTTACCTGTAATTTACTGACTGATTTATTTTTATAGTGTTTAATAACATCCAATTAAGGTGACAGAGGCACTTTACTGTAAACGTCACAGTAAAAATCACATTACAAGAAAGAAAACGTGTAATAAAATATATTGCCACGCTACATTTGTCTAGTAGTGAAGAATTGTGCAGCATTTATTGATGAAGTCATTGGAGAAGGAGAAAAAATTGCCCACAACAGCATAACTCCAGACATTGCTCAGAATAAGTAGTTTTGGGGGTTTGCAAACACAATCAGTTAGTTTATTTTTATTTGTACATGCCTAGTTTGTATCAGATATTTTTTCTCCCAGCAATATGATATTTCCCATCTCCAGTACAGTGGAGGATCTGTCATACTGTGGGCTGTTTCTCTTCCAAAAGCCACGGGTGCCTTGTTAGAAAAATCTCATTATGAACTGTTTGGGGTTCAATTTTTCAAAAAAATAATTTCAGTTTGAGATTATCCATTCACAAGTTGAATTAACTGTAAGGCACTTTAGACATTTTTACCATTTTTGTTTTGTTTTAATTCATACCTAAGCACTAAAATTTACCATGTTTCCCTCTTGTGTCACCACATCCAAGTACTGATCTCTAGTCTTGATGAGAAAAAGGAAAAACTCAGGGTGCACAGGTCTCACAGACCCCGACAGAGGCTTACATGGCGCTGTGATTTACATCTACCAAGACGCACTGAGCACGATCAAGAGGTTATGTTTTCACACCAAGTTTTTTTTATTTTCCAGCAGAGATTCAGAGGAGGGGGAGTTCAGAGTTTGGGGTGGAGTTGAAACGCCAAACAGACTGAAGCCGCGGGTCCCGTCTGGGGCCCTGTAGACCTAAAACCACAGCTAGACCGAATGAGGCATAGAGTGTTTGTGTAGCTGCAGGGTTTGCGGCGCCCAGTGGAAAGCCACCCACCTTGCTGGGGGACCACTGGGCTCAGACTTTGCAGCCCTCACACTCATGAGCCCCAGTGAAAGCATGAGGCCGTCGGAAGCCTGTACGTGCTTCCTAAAAGAGACTGAAGCAGCAGTGTTTGATGTCAATGCTGCAGTGTGGTCCTGTCTGCTGAGGCTTGCTCAGGTTAGTTACTGAAGCTGTCTGGTTTAAGGAGGAGGAGAGATGGCTTGATAAGGATTTCTGTTTTCCTGCTATGACCCAACCAACATCTTTGACACCTTAGTTTACACCCTGTGTCAGTCTGAATTCTGCACTCTAATAGAGACAGGTGTGGAGCCAAACAATTCAGGGTCTTGGTTGGACTTGAAAGGAGGCATAAAGTGTAGCTGTTGTTACTCAATACTGTGGTAAAATAACCCCACTGCCACAGCCTGTTACTAACATAAACAAGACCAAGACTGCAGGTGGGGGTTATGTGTGTTCATCTCGGTCTGCAGTGGGTGTTTGTAAGTAGGTGTGTGTGCGTGACTTTAACTTTGCATTGCTTTCACATCACATACACACCTACAGGTCTTCCAAAGTCCAGCTGAGCAAACATCCTCAGGTTTGGTCTGTGAGAAGGGAGTTCCCTCCCCCCCTTCTCACCATTAAGGAACTGGGTGTAATTGGGATACACCACACACCATGGACTGGAAACCTTCAACAACCAGTCCACTCCATTGGCCAACAGCATGTTTGATCTTTATATATACAGCTAGCTTGGTAGAATTCCTTAATAAGTTTGACCTTGAAGTCGCAAAGCCACAAAATCCAACCATGCTTTGGTTCTGGTTCTGGTTCTGGCTTTAGAGGCTGTGCTGGCAAAGAGACTTTTATGTTTTGGTCTAAAGGAACAAGAATTTTTTTCTCTCTTCTTTTAGCTGCCTACATAAACTACTGTGTGTTATTAAGCCACGTCATAGAGAAACATTTTCTTCATTGGTCTTTTAAGACTTCTCAGCTTAAGGCAACTAAATTTCCTGAAGAAGTGTGTGACCCGACAGGTCGGCTATGGTAAAATCAAACATTTATGATTGTTTTTGTTTTCTGTTTGAAGTAATGAGGGGAATACACAGGTTGCTATTCTAACTTATTGAAGACATTTCTGTAAGTCTTGTCTAAGTCCTTGGTTTACCAGTTGTCTACAAAGATAGATGTTGCCATTTTCCACTGGCACTTAGCAGCACAGCTCAACTCAATTCTACTCTATTTGTGTGGTTTCCAATTGCAGCTGAGTAGCAGCTCTAGTGGGTGGGGTTGTCATGTAGTTGGGTGGTCCAAATCCAAATCAAAGCTGTTTTTTTTTTCTCTAAACTTCTCAAATTGCATCAGTCAGAAATCAGAAATTCACGTTAAATCAACGGATTAGCATGCTTTTTTTGACCTAATGTATAATTATGAGTTTATTGCACATTTTTTGCAAAAAATTTTCAAAATCATTGGGTTTAAGTGATGCTAAATCCCACCTGCAGGAGGCAGTATTGAGTCTTCCATGATGTCAAATTATAGTCTGTAATAAATATGGTAAGTAAAAAAGAATTATTGTGAATATTTCTAAACTAACCCCACAAAATCAGTGATTTTGATTAACAAGTTGCTAAATCAGTAAAATGTTTTGCAACTGATCCAGATGTTTAGTATTTTTTAATTTTAATTTTAAGATATACTCATTGAATGCAGAGATGGCTTTATACTAATATTTTAACATTTTTTAACAGTTCTATGGGTTTTATCAATCAATTCTGGCACAACCGGTCTTAATGTGGCCAAAAATAAAAATGAGTTTGACACCCTGCTGTGAAGATTGAACTGGTACCATGTAACCAATACCAGTGGAAACCTCTAAGTAGAGCCCAGTCAACCCAAACTGAGAAGGAGCTAATGGAAAAAGTTCCTTGAAAAATTGTTCATAACCTTTTTAATGTTGTCATATTTCAATGAATTTCCTGTGACAGACTAACACAAAGCAGTTCATAATTGTGATGTGGTAGAATATGATGCACGCTTTCCATAGTTTTTTTCCAAACCCGAAACGTGTGGCGCTTCCAAAAATACTGTTATTCACACCAACAGTGTTTGCTATGACTGTAAGTTCATCATCCCCGTTTCCATGCTCAAAATCTCATCAAACCTCACTTTCAGAACTTGGTGTCCGAAACAGCTCGTAAAAAAGATCGGGAAATGGTGATGAGGGAGATCGACCGGCTTCGCTCCTCCATCCAGATGGTGTGTCGGAGTTCCTTACCGCTTGGAAAGATCATGGACTACATCCAGGAGGACGTGGACGCCATGCAGGCTGAGCTGCAAAGCTGGCGGCGGGAGAATAAGGAGCACGCTCAGGCTTTGCTGCAGGAGCAGAGGTTGGCTTGAGGCAGACACTCATGCTTTTCTTGTTTTTATTAAAACATCAGTTTGACATCATGTTAATTTATCCTGCAGAGGGAGGTGGGATATTTTAACAAAAGAAACGTGGCTCAAATATATTCGTTTCTTCATGGTTCCATGTCCAGCTGCCAAGACATTGTTTATGTTTAGGGTTTTGTCTTTAATCTAGTCAGATCAGAACTGATAAGTTTCTACAACCTGTTGTTTTTGTTTGCTGGTTATTATAGATGAGCCACTGATTGCAGTAAATACTGTTCTCCTCTCGTCCGTCAGGATAACGGACCGGGTCGTGGAGCCTCTCAACGCCGAGCTAGTCGAGCTGGACCAGCTTATTAAGGACCAGCAGGATAAAATTTGTGCTGTGAAGTCCAATATACTGAAGAATGATGAGAAGATCCAGAAGATGGTAACTGGGATCAACTTTTCCTCCAGAACCTGAGTGTATAAACTGGATAAGAAAAAAAAATGCACTCTAAACATTTAAAGATGAGCTGTATAGATTAAAGAGCTGCACTGTGTGCTACAGATCCTGTTTTCTGAGGTTTTTAGAATTAAATCAAATGGATCCACCTGGTTGTTTTAAATTGTGCCTTTGTTGCACGGATCTGTGCACAGCTTCTAACTTGGAGGTTTGTATGGATTGGTTTATGGTAGCAGCACTAGCTCCATACAGGAAAATATCTTTGTTGTTTCAGTAAGTAAGAAATTGACTGCAAGTAGGATTTCTGGTCTTTTTCAGCTTTCATTTTATTTTCAGCATTTATCTTTATTAATCTAATTAAACTGACAGTTTTAGCCTAATTCACGTTCTTTAGCTTCTTTGTCTCTGATCATCTGTCCTCTCATCCCTTAAGATCCCATCGACGTGGTTTTCAGAAAGCATTTTCATTCTCTCGTCTACTTTTGATGCACTGCTGCACTTTGTTATTCTCTTTTTAAACTGTAAAGGGGAAAAGATGCTTTCTGTAAACTTGGCAACTAAAGAAACTCCACTTTCTGTCATGGATGAACACCAGAACTTCCTGGTTTTGCCACTTCAAGTAAAGAAACACATTGAATGTAGCAGTGAGCACAGAAGAGACCTGATTTATGAATTTAAAAAGAAACTAGGATTACATTTTGCTCCTGTTACGGCTGTATGAACTGTACAATTAGGCTGTCCTTGATATTGTTAACAAAAATATTTAGTTTTAGCCTATATGTGGATTCATTATGGTTACATTAGTGTTCTTGCATTGTGATGTATGTCCTGAAAGAAAAGGCAATATCAGCATAATATTTTGAATGAGACTTTGAGTTACTCTGAAATGTTACAGAAGAAGACCAAGTGATTGATTATAAATATTATCTTCAGGAGAATAATAATTCCATAACTTTTTTTTCTTTTTTCTTCACTGAATAAATTTCCCCAAATCTGGATTTGGTTTGGTTGAATGTTTCTAAAAGGTTCAGTGTGAGATAACTTCAAGATTTTGACATGTTTACCAAATGGGCGATGTGATCACTTATCTGAAACAATCTGACATCTAATTATATATTTATGCCATGGCCTAATATTCATATAGCTCGAGGACAAATGGACAGTGCTGATTTATCTTTTTAAATTTAAGCGTACAGCATGCGACTGTATTAAAGGCACATTTTCTGTTACTGCTCGGGAAAAGGAAACACTACATTTACATAAGCTCTTTATAGACACAACAATGCAACAACAGCTATTAGGTGAAGACTCAGCAGTCAAACTACACAAACGGGTCAGACTTTGTTTTCATAACACCATTTTGTGACGTCCTTCCAAAATAAAACAGAAACGTCCAGGAGTTTTAGTCAGAGAGCATCTCAAAGGGAAAACCGATAAAGTGGGGACCTGTATATTACTCATAATTACTACATTCACTGTACACTGTTTGTTACACTCTCTCAGTTTACCTTTCAACTGTACATAATGTATATGTTGAGATTGTATCATAGATTAAATGACTATATAATTTTGTAGTGGAGTGAAATAAACGATCACATTGCAGTAAATGTTTGCCTCTTGTTTATGATTTGCGACAGAGTGGAGTGGAGGTTCGCTGCAGCCTGTTAGTCAGAGCGACCTTAATGAGAGGCTTTGATTGTTCAAGTCAACACAAATGAAGTGGTGAATGACAGGACTGTCATTTTGAACGTTTCTTGTAAAGGTTTTATTACCTTCCATCGCACTGCAAGGAAGTGATTTTCTTTTCAGGTCTCATAAACATTCAACCTTTCTTTTTCAGCAGCTGAACAACGACGGTTTTGTTTTTACCCTCTATTAGAAAATAAAGCAGCTGCAGTGTGAAAAGTGTGTTTTTGTGGATTAGGACTGACTTTTTTTTTTCTTAAAATTCCCAGAAAAGTCAGAATTATGGTATTAAAGTCAGAATCCTGGGGGAAAACAAACTTGGAGTTTTACGGGGGAAAAAGAAAAACAAATTCAAGAGAAAAAAAATAAATTAAAGTTAGAATCTCCATAAATGTCAGAATTCCCATTAAAAAGAAAAGTCAGAATTGTTAGAAAAAAATTGAATTATGAGATGAGTCAGAATTCTGAGAAAAAAAACAGAATTCTGGAATTAAAGTCAGAAGAGTTAGAATTATAAGGTAAAAGTTTGAATTCTGACAAAGTCAGAAATCTAGAATTAAAGTCAGAATCTCCCACAAAATGATGAATTGTGAGATTATAGTACGATCTCCTGTAAAAAAAAAAAAATAATTTTTACAGTTGGTATCCTAAACAAGGGATAGAATTCCATAGAGTCTGAATTTTGACTTCATCTCAGAATTCTGATTTATTTTTTGCTCAAAATTCTGAGATAAAAGTCCTGTTCCATGTGAGTCACTGTGGCTGAATTATGTATTCTTTTTTTCATATTGACGTGAGAGAATCCATGATGTTAATCTTCTGCAAACCACTGTGAAACTAGTTTGAGATGAGTAGAGCTTTGTGACAGTTGTCATCAGACGATGGCTACGTAAAGGATTGGAACAACACCGTAGTAGACTGTGGCACAAAGCAGAACAGATCTGTTTTCATCCTGTTTACACTGAATTGTAGAGTGAATAGTAGCCTCAGTTTCCTGACAGCAGTGGGATAAACTGACCAGGCTGCATTACTGCGGATCTTTTCTTCTAGATTGAAAGCCAGTTGCCACACCACTGCATCATTATCCCAAAGTCTTGTCCTGTTTGCGTGGCGTACAGTCAATGAAAACACAGATGAATCATTCAAACAGTGATCTTTCAGCTCAACATTTCTTTTCCTCCCACTTTTCTACACAAAGCCAGATCCCTGCAGGCAGCCTGTCCAGTTCTGGGGCCGCCTGGCTCCACTGACTGGGGCGTTTATTTTTAGAGCTCCACCACGGTCCAGTGTCTGTCATCAGGCTGCATAAAGCTACGGCTGCATGCCTCCATCTGTACGTTGTGACTCACTATAACAAAGATGGTGAGCGCTGCACTTCAAGTACGTTTATTTTACACTTACAATTAGACCAACTTCCTTGTAAAGTTAACCTCAACCTCTTAAAAATCCTTCTTCTTTTCTTTAATTTCATCTCTAGCTCTGGCTCTGACCACTTTTGCAAGGATTTAATGGATCCTAAAAGGCTCCCTAAACCTAACAGGTTATTCAATGTTTTTTTGTTGTTGTTTTTTTTGTTGCATGAAAACATACATATTTTTGTCTTCCTCCTTTAAAAAGGCAATATAGGTTTTGGCTCACAGTTGCAGCAAAAAAAAAAAAGCAAAATGAAACAAAAAAAATGAAGTAGAGCAGTAAAGAAGATGCTCTTGGTTTTCTGTTAAACTCTCTTTCTCATCTCTATGTGCTACCAAACAGTTTCCAGAACACAGTCAGTCTTTTTTTATCAGCTTGTTCAGCTTTTTTACTTCCCAGAATCAGATGTTGCTACCATAAGTGCAGATGAGATTTCACTCACAAGATTTATTGATGGCATGCAGCATCTTGGTGCGAGTACTGAAGAACCTGAAGACTGAACAGGAAGTACAGTCTTCTATTTTGCTTTCTGAACTTTTTCCATAGAGCATTAAATGGCCCGAATAATAATGGTTACGACCTCATCTCTTTCCTGGACAGAGCCGATGAAAGATTTACAGCTGTGACTAAGTACATGTACTCTGTTTTTCATCCTATGCATCTATATTTTTTCTATGCATCTCTGTTCTGCGGGGTTTTTCCTCAGCGTTTGGTTTCAACCTTCTTACATCACCAGTTGGGTTAGGAGATTTTTCTTGCACTGCAAAAACAAAACAAACAAACAAAAAAAAAACAAAACAGAAAATGGGCAAAAATATAAGAACAGTTGAAATAAGACAAAATTAATATGCAAGTAACTTTTCTGCAACATGTGTTTGTTTTAATTTTAAATATGACTATCTTTTTTATTTTCTTGTACATAGTTTGTTGCTGTATATAAATAAATATCCACATCTTGTACGTTTTTTAAGTTATCCAACTGAGTTTCACAGTTATTTCTCATGTTATTTTTTTTTAATAAATATGTAATATTTTCTTGTGTTGTAAATGTGCTTGTATTGTGCAGTCTCTTGTTCTTGTACATGGTGCATTTTAAAAGGAAAGACTCCGGTCCTCCCAAACTCTTAAGTGGACTTTTCAATTTTTCTTCCACATTTTTTCCTCCCATTCAACTTTCCTCATATATGGGTGGATACAGCACTATGTGAACTGTTACGTTCACATAGAACTGTTACTAAACAATAGAATATGTAAAAATATTGGTTTTCTTTTGGCTTGAACAATCTCCAAATGACCAGACCGACCGAATTTAGAGCTTTCAATGGCTGTAAACTATGATGATAACTAAAAGCGAGTGCTCTCTGTTACTCATCTGTATAGAATGTCACAGGCCGGCCGCCATGATAGAATGTTATTTAGCTATGACTCGTTTGTATTTGAAAATGATGCGTTTCCCTTTAAATGTCGCAGCTGAGCTCAACCAGGAAGCGGCGCAGCGATCCGTGCCCGATCCTCCATCATCAACAGGCTCCCGTTTGTTTGTGTCCTGCTGTCTCTTGTCCTCTGCTCTGCTGGCTCATTTTTCTTTTGGTTTTTAATAAATGAAGTCAAAGTAAAGGGGTTCGGTTTGGCTGTGTGAACTCTCCGGAAGCATGGCGGACGGTCCAGCCGCTGATGTTGACGAGCCGCCCAGTATCATTTTCCCCCCGGTCATCACTGTGTCCGACCTGCCCAGCACTGCTGCAGGTAAACTGACGGCGGTCTGACTCATTACTCACCTACACAGCTTCTTTAAGGCTTTGATGCTGCAGTCAGACGTTTACATACACTCGTCGTGGCGTATTAATTAGGGGGCTTTTAATAATAGGTGAATGACAGGAATCATTAGCATTGCTCATTCTGTCACACGTTTAAGTATATCGAGTTAGCATAAGATAATAACCACCTGCCTAACGGTGTTTTTTAGTCTCCTTTTTGGTGCATGGAGGCATGCTGTGGTATCTGGAGCAGAACCTTTTAAGTGCTGTTGGTTTATGAGGTGGGGCCTCCATGGATCCGACTTGTTTGTCCAGCATAAAGACATGAATGGAGATCTGACTCCTCAAACTGGTAGTTTTCAGCCCAGTCTTGCCCAAACCATAACACTGCCTCCGCTGGCTTTCCATGTTCTTGTAGTCCACATGTTTTCAGACAAACTCAAGGTCCAGGGGCCATAGCTTTTTATGTGGCCCTCCAGACTCCAGAGGGACACATAAAAAGAACTGAAACAGTTGTGTATTTAATATTATTTTATCAATAATATCAAAGCGGTTTTACCTATTTTGTGCCAAATTACATTATGAGCAGAGCGCAGGAGATATAAACTCTCAACACCACAAATGATTGTTTGTTCACAGAAATATATGCGCTCATGTCAGTTTCACTGCACAGCCAGAAAGATACAGAAATACAGTTTTTGAGCATAAACTGCATGAAAAGTGTGGGTGTTAAAACACCCACATCCCCACAGGTGTGATGCCTATCCTGCACACCAGCAGGTGCAGTGAAGGAGACATAATCTGTGTGATTCACTTCTCCCTAGAGTGGACATAATGTTATGCCCGATTGCTACTACTTAGTGCTCAAAGAAGACAATGACCCAAAACACATTGAATTTAATTTCACACATTCAGACAATGAATGTGGCTCAGGAGCTGTCAGCATTTTCAACACAAATTCAGTTTTTGATTTTCCTGTTGCTGCTCGTATCATCTACCCAAAACGGAGTTAAGGAAGTAGTTCTGTCATTCCGTTTGCTCCGTCTGTCTGCTTGTCCATCAGGGCGTAACCTGAAGGAATGGCTCCAGGAGCAGTTCTGTGACAAACCGCTGGAGCAGGACGACATGCGGCTCCACAACGCCGCATACGTGGGCGACCTGGACACCCTGAGGAACCTGCTGCAGGAAGATGACTTCAGACGGTGAGGCCAGCTAACTGCCGGACTGATCAGGACACCTAATCTACGCTGTAGTTCTCAGGTTTTGCTAATTTCTAGAGAAAACAACTGAAAGATCAGAGAGAAAATGCAAAAGTCTTGTGTTGTCTATGTTTGTGTTATTTGTTTTAGAGAATATTAGATGAGACGTATTACTCTTCTTATAGCACATTTCACACTTTTTGTGGTGCCATTTTAAAAACAACCATAAGACTCTTAATTTTTTGGTTTCAGGCGCATTAATGAGAAGTCGGTGTGGTGCTGCGGCTGTCTGCCCTGTACGCCCCTGCGGATCGCAGCAACGGCCGGACACGCCGCCTGCGTGGCCTACCTGATCGCCCAGGGAGCCGAGGTGGACCTGGTCGATGTCAAAGGTCAGACGGCGCTCTACGTTGCGGTGGTTAACGGTCACCTGGACTGCGTTCGGATCCTCCTGGAAGCTGGCGCCGATCCCAACGGGAGCCGCCACCACCGCAGCACCCCCCTGTACCATGCGGCGCGGGTCGGGCGGGTGGACGTCCTGCAGGAGCTCATCAGGTGAAACGAAGCAACATACAAACCTCTTACTTTGACCTCCAGCAGATTTATAGATGTATTATATCCTACAAATAAAATGTGTTTTTACTCCGTTTTTGCTGTAATGTGCTGAATTACTCAATTACTTAATATTTTTAATCATGTTTCCTTTTGACATCCCTTTGTTATTTTCCCGTTACAACAGTAATTTCAATGTATTTTTATTAGATTGTGAATGTTCTTTAAAAAAAATCATAAATGAAAGTTGGTGTGTTTGTTTTTTATTTTTTTTGTATTCAGTCCCCTGATTCAATGCCTCATAGACCAGCTTTGCAGTGAAATGTTGCTCCATCATCATTTGGAAAATAGCCGTTATAAGACCTGCTTGATATTAGTCTGGACTTTGATTGGGCCCTTTTAACACATGAGTATAATTTAACTTAAACCAGCTTTTTTTTTTTTTATCAAATATGGACTTTGAACTGTATCTGGATCAGACTGCAGGTCAAGTCAAAACCAATTATCATTGTAGATAATGTGGGCAGATTTGTGGAATTGGACATTTAAAAATTGGAATATCCTAAAATGTGGTAATTTGTGTATTTTATTCCAAGTGGTTTTCTGTGACTGAGCGATAGAAGAGTGTGTCCTGTCTGCTGCTCTCTGTCGGCCTGTGTGTGTATGTCCGTGTGTGTGCGTGTGTGTGTGTGTGTGTGTGTGTGTGTGTGTGTGTTGGATGTGACCTGGTCAGCCGAGGCTCAGGTCTCCCTCAGACGTGCTGCCGAGTGAGAGAAACCTGATCCCAACGCAGCACGCTGCTGTTACACCAGTCACTTCCAACTACAACAAGTAAAGCAGAGTCCTTAGTCTGTGAAACAGGAAAACAGCTCTGTCTGTAAGTTATTTTGCATTAATGAATAATTGGAACCACAAAGAGAACAGCCAGAGCATGTCAACACAGAGAGGGAACAAGCTAGCATTGACTGTCATTTCTACAAACTCATCCCTCATCAAAGATCCTTAGTGGTGGAAGATGTGCGCTTACTGAAGGCTTCTTTCTCCAGAATTTTGTAGCTTCTTGTTTTCTTTCATTTTTTTCTGTACATTCAGTTCCGTCCATCCTCTTGTCAGCTCTGACCAGCTTCCCCAAAGCATGATGTTTAACAGTGCGGCTGGTGTGTTCAGGATGTCTGGAAATGTTAGTTTTTCATCCCACTTTGCATTTTGTACAGACATAAAAGTTGAGTTTTATTTGGATCTGACCAGACCATATTCCTCCACATGTTCTATGTAACAGTTTTCATGTAGACAATTTCCTCCAACCTGTGCTGTTTACTTCAGAAGCTTTAGAGTATTTGTTTCTTTTTTAATTGATGCTATGCTTGCTCAGTTTGAATTTGGGATATTGTTGTAGTTTTTAAACTTACATTAAAAAAAAAACAACAAAAAAAAACTGTTATTTCTACTGTATCATGCACTATTTTAAAGTTTTGATGTTAACAAAATACTAAAAACTTAAAGAGATGTGAAAACTTTTGTGTTTTTTCCCCCCCGTAAGAGTACGCAAACTTATTTTTTATATACTTCATTTATATCAGTGAGAGGACAGTCATCATAGATTAATATTAACAATTATTTATTATGAAGCCAGGCAGTTATAAGATATGTGGCTTTTTACAACATCACTTTTTGTTTTCTTTCTTTTCTTGTTGCCCTAAATTGCATTCTGTATTGAGGTTGTGCAAAATGCATCTTTTTCAAACATAAAACCATGCAACTTTTCTTGTATATTTCTAGATTCAATGCCGATGTTGACATGGACCACCAGCTGGGTCCCCGGCTCCTCCTCAGTGCTCGAACCCTTAACACCCTGGTGGTGTGTCCTCTCTACATCAGCGCTGCCTACCACCACCTTGAATGTTTCCGGTTGCTGCTCCTAGCCGGCGCGCAGCCCGACTTCAACTACACGGGGCCCGTCTGCCACGAGGCCCTGACTCGGGGCCTCGCCTCCTGCCTGCTCGACGCAGTGCTGCGACACGGATGCGAGGTGAGCTTCGTCCACCTGCTGCTGGACCATGGCGCAGACCCAGCGCTGGTTCCTTGGGAGCAGGTGGAACTGGAGGCGCCAAACCGAAGGAAGGTGGATCCGGAGGCACTCAGGGTGTTCCTGGAAGCAAAGAGTGAGTGGAAATAATTTGCAAGTGTGTAGACGTTAATGGAGAGCTGCTGTTGTGTGTCATTTATATTAACTTATGTTGGTGTAAACATGAGAAATTGAAACAGATCAGGCAATATGAGATAATACTTTTGCCATGCTGTTGTATTTATTTATATTTTAAGATCAACTGACCATCTTGGAGTGAGCGTTCAATGATCTCTGATGGTCCCCAAGAAGTCAAATAAATATTAGCTGAATTAGTCAAAAAGTAGGTCATGCAGTCTTCAGTTGGAGCCACTTTAAGTATTCAGCTTGTTAAAGTCAGTGAATCCTCATTGAGGCAGAGAGTGCCTTAATAGTGCACTATGAGATTAAATAATGTTATTAGAGAGTCATTACTAACACTTTTAAAGAACAAATTTGGGACAACCGTGACGAGGACTCTAACCTTTACGCCACGCGACGCCACATTATGAATAACTTCTAAACCTTTATCCTTTGACTCTTTTTGTGCAGCCACTTAGCCGCCATTGTTTTTTATTTTTCCTTCACAGAAAACCCTCATAGGCTCACGTATCTGTGCCGCATCCGGATCCGCAGAACAATGGGCAAAAGCCGTCTGAAGCACATAGCTTTGTTACCGCTACCAGAATCCATCAAGAACTTCCTGCTGCACCGAAACTGACGTTTGTCCACCGTAATCCATGCGGGTAATAAAAATGAATAAAAAAATCTTAGTAAGTCCCAAAGACAAGCTGTTGTTTGCTTTTTCCTTTATAAAAATGTAGACATTTATTTTCTAAATGTTTGGAAGTTAAAAGTTCTGGATTAACTTTCCGTCACTGTAAGGATTTTTACAGTTATTTTCTTTTTTAAGTTATCAAAGGAGCCTTAGCCATGTCTGAACTTGTGAAAACTGTGTCTTACAACAAATGTTTTCTTTCAAATCACAAAAATGTGTCGTGACTCTAGTTCAGGTTAGGTGTAAAGATTACAGTATAAATTAGCCTGAATCAAGAGTAAAGTTCTCGTTTGTAGAAGTGTGATCCAGCTCCTTTAATTGCTCTTTTACATTCATGTAAACCACGACTTTATCCAATCATCTATTAAATATTTCAAGTTTTATCTTTTGTAAAGTGTTGCTACAGGCGGCTGTAAGGGCTCAAGGTAGCAAAACATTTTACATAATTTCATCTCTAAAGTGACAATAAAAAGAACAATGGTACGTTCCCCACTTGTTAATTAAGATTATAAAGCCTGAAGCTGGTTACATTTTCATGTTGTGGCAATCTAAATTATGTTTTGTTAATTACCACCCAAACAAACTTGTTGAAATGTTCTGCTGTTTGATGGTGGTATTGCACTTTTGTTTTCCTGTAGATAAGTGTTTATGAAGTTAACCTCCTTTTGCTTCTCCATGTTAATACTACAGGTGTAACGATACACTTAATTTAAGTTAGGAAAGCAGATTAGATGTTTGGATCACCGTTTAATAGTTTATATAATTTGGGGCTAAACTTCATTATTCATACAGCTACAAATCATTATCACCTGCGATTCTTGCATTGGTTTGGTGTAGAGTGCTGTAGATAGAGGCTTAACCCGCCATGATTAACCAAACATGGTGTCTTTTACTAGGCTTTTTCAGCTGTTGTGTTCTGCTAGTGGTGGCTTAGTTAATTGCAATTACCAGTTTGTGCCACTAGATGGTGTTGCATCTGTATAAAACAATTCCTTTACATTAACATTTTTGTGAATGAAAGAGCAAATTAAAGGAACGTGATCCATACTGTAATACTGGTAGCTGGAGAGATGTTTACCTAATAGATATTACTACTACATGTCAATATACTGAGAAAAAACAGGATCCTGACCAACCTGTGACTGTGTAAGAAAATATACTACAAGTTCTTTTCTGTATCATTGACAATCTATAAAATGTTGATAGAAGTGTTTTTAACTTTGCATTTTTTAGCCAGGAAGCTGCCTTCTCTGGGGATTTGTCACATATGTTGTCTTCAGTGCAGGTCTGCTACTTTTTCTCAAATACTAACATTTAAATGTGGTGCATGTGTAACATGTCAGTGTGTCTTGCTCAGAAATTTGTCCTATTTGTTTGCAAACATTAAATCTGGTCTCGGATGATTCCTTGTGTGTTTGTATTACCTTAAACACGTCGAGTCAGACGAGTTTGCATGCTTCTTGGAGTTATTTCCGGATGCTTACTGTTCCTTTTTGATTTCTGTTACAAACCAAGATGAGTCAAATCATCTGAGCCTGTGAAAATGATTGGCAATGAAAAAGTAACACTATTAGCAGTCCCTAGATGGAGCTTTCCAGAATATTTGGAACATTAGTAAGTGTGCCTTTGTTATAATTTTCTCATGTGATCCCTGATAGTGCCATTTGAGTCACCTACCAAGAATATGGAAGAGCAGTGCAGAATCTCCTTTATCCTCAGAGGTCTGAAAACGTTTCATTTAGTAATAGATGTGACATCTATTACTAGGTATTTCTACATTGAATTAGTTGCACTATTTCAACGTAGATGATTAGTTACATTGCAGCCATGTTTTAAATGCAGGATACTGACCCTTTTGCCAATTTGCACCCTGGCTTTGTACTCAATTCTTGCCATTTTGTTCCATTTTGTATATATTTTTACTTGCATATTTAAGCTTGTGTGTCAGCTTATTTATCCATGGTATTTTTGTTTGAATTTAGAGATATAAAATTTCTCAAATTTCATACGAAATAAAATGTAATACTTTATTATCTTCTAAAGGTTTTACTAACACTGATTGAATTTATCATGACATAGGATTGGCTAAGAACTGTGACCAAAACGAAAAACACTGAGTGACTTCATACTGGTGAGCATTAGTAACTGTAGATGTCACCACATACTCCAACAACAGATTGTGAGTAGATTATTTACGATAGCTTTAAATAATTAAATTATTGTCAAAACTGAAGGGTAACTGCTTTTTCATACCTCAACTTTTATTAATGCAAATTAAATTAAAGTAGAAACATTTTAACCATGTTGTCCTTTTAGGGTAACACTTTATGTTGCACGCAAGGCAGTTTCTCTTTTGCGTTTATCTTAACCAACATGCAACGTTCATAATCTTTTGGGAACACGGTCCAATTTAACACAAGCGTGAGAGAGGTCCGCATCAGGACATTTGATATTGTCGTGAAGTTGATAAACGTGTCATGTTGTTTGGAAAAAAGCCATGAAAAACTCCTGTTTTAGTGAAAGCCCAACAGGATCAGCCTGGGAACCCCGAATGAAAGCAGCAGGGGGAAAAACAGCAGAGGAAAATTGAAGGTCCAAGACCTAAAAAGGTCATGTTCAGACCAGGGAAGATGAGACGTAGGAGTTTTTGCATCTATCTTGGATGGAAAAAGATTTTCTGCAAATATTTTTGGGGAAAAGAAATTGTCTTTTCGTCTAGTTAAACTCTCAAATGAGTCCTAACAATAGATGTACATTCATGGAAATGCCAGTTAGATTAAACAATATGTCTGAGGTCTCTAGGTGGCACTGTTTTCCTTTCCAGCATGGCAGGCGCCGCATCTCCTTCCCTCTGCCTCTCTCTCCATCTTCCCTGTTGTCTCATGACTGCAGAACCTCAGCATGTGCCTTCAGGAGCCTCATCCTTTCTGATCTCATTAAAAGCAGGTTTTTTATTAGTAGAACTCACACTTAAAAACTGAATGAGAGAAGAACCGTTGGGGAAACCACTGTTTTCGTTTCAAGAGCCAATTTTCTTTATATTACTGCTTATTTAGAAGGCACCCTGGTGTGCTGTATTTTTTTATTTAAGAGGTTTCACATAAAAGCCTTATATTGCCCAGAGTCTTAACAAAATCGTGTGACGAGTCCCGGTCTGAAGGCTGAATTTTGTTTGTGACTTGTGCTGGAGAAGTACATTATTAAGATTATTGGAGCAGAGTTTATCTTGGATTACGTAGAGAAACAGATCTGGTAAATGGTTTGCTTCCTCTCGAAATCACCAGGAGCCTGGAAAAGCTGAATATTGTTGTTCATTCCTAAGTTTATGTGCACCACAAGCTGCAATCAAAGTCTCAACAGGCTCCGCTAATATCGGCACAGTATTCCGCCTCTGCATGCAAGTCCATGTTAAAAGCACTGCGGCTTGATTCATGACCTTACCACAACTTTGAGGTACGTTTCCTCTGATTCTGTGTTTCCATATAAAACCCTATGTCAGGCTATAAATGCAGGTGTCTGGTTAGCATATAGTATGGGGTAAACATTGAAGTTTTTCTGTGGACTTTAGCTCCTTTTTCTCCCACCTGTCTGCTTCTAGGAATGTTTATTTCTTGGATTTAATTGTTTTAATTGATCTCTCTAAATTGCTGTTAGTAATGCATGTGTGTCTTATTATAAAAACAATTTAAAAATAGTAACAACTTTTTGTAGACGAAGAGTTTCTTACTGCAGGTTAGGTAACATGACCTTTCCACAAAAACTCACTCAAAAATTAAGAAATGTTCTTTAAAGCATAAAAAGTCATCTAGCAGCTTAACAGGAAAAAAGACAGTTTTAGCAGAATTGGTTTTGTGGTATTTTGGTTCTTTTTCTTATGCTGAATCTAAGACAGCCCACAGAAAGGCATGTTTGTCAGGCTGCTGGGTGGCATAAGTGATAGAGCGGGCACCATGTGCAGAGGCTGTGGTTCGATTCCTGGTCCCAGACCATTTGCGGCATGTCTTCTTCTGTCTCCTCCACCTTTCCTGTCAAATTCCTGTTCAAAAAAATCTTACATGATCAGATGAATTTATATCAGTGAGATCCTCTATCAGGTTTTTGGTAGATAAATAATATTTGTGAATAACGTCATTGAGAAAAAAGAAACATTCAAACAGAGATGGTTTTTAAGCCTGACATTTCTTCTTTTCTCTTTATTTTGCTTGGCATCTTTCCTGATGGCTTAAAGCAACATGCTGCCATGCGCAAATGCAAAGACTGGAATAATAAAAATAGCAGAAATTGTTCCAAAGACATAGTTTAAAATCTGGAGAAGTGCAACCCAAAATCACATAAGCAAATTACAATAGAGACATAAAGGAGACGGCGTGACATATTTTATATACTCTTGTTTGAATAAAGAAGGTCAGATTAAAAACTTTATCATGCAGACTTGCTCCCCTGCCCAGTTAGGATTTGCCAAACATTGTGTTTTGGATGATCTCATTCTTTAGGCGGCCCGGAAGTCCTAATTACCTTGAATGAGCACATCACTCTGTGTTTGCCACACACACACACACACACACACACACACACACACACACACGTAATGTGCCTCTATCCTGTGCAACACAGTCTTCATCTTTTTTTTCTTAACCACACAGCAACAGAAGTGGAATCAAAACCAAAGAAGATTAACGTGATTCGCAGAGAAGACATTAAACTGAGTTTGGTGTTTCTCGGTCCAAAGCAAGCAGTCTTTTTCCGCTTTGGCTCACCCGTGATCAGTCCAACAGGAAAGCCTGGGTGTGGATGGCTGAACCTGAATATATTGATCATTTTTCATTTTTCCTCGTGCTGCTGCTTTGCAGCACATGTGGACCACAACGCATGACAGCCAGAGCTTTTCCTCCTCTAAGACCGTCATGCTCTATAAACCACTCAATCAGTGCTCAAGCGCAACACAAACAGGGAATTCCTTCAGCTTTTACAGATATAATTAAGAGGTACATGGTTAGAAATGCAGAAAGAATCTTCACTAATAAAAGTGTGCTTTAATTAGAGACCTCAGAAGGGCTTAATGACCCTTAATCTGACTGAGTTCCAAAGGAGCCGGTAGTTGTGAAATGTGGCAAAGCCAGGAAGGATGTGAAGTGATTGCTTCTGTAATTACTGTCACAGTCTGTAACTGGGGTCTTATACTTAATTAGTTCCCTCTCATTTGGGCCATGTTTAGTAATTGTGTATGTATGTTAAAGCTTGAACTGCTGGATCTGCTTTTCAGGAGTAAAGAAACTCTAGAATGAAGGAAAGCCGAAAGCATCTGGCTTGAGAAATATTTAAAGGTTGAGTTGGATTTCCAAGAAAGTCATATTGCTTTACAGTGCCATGAAAAATCATTTAACATGTCTTTTGTTTTTGCTTTTTTGCTACACTTACAAAATTAGCCCGAGATGCCCAAGAAACAATGATTTCATTTCTTAGTAGAAAAATGCTAGCCAAGCCACTAATTCATTTTCATGAGCCACAACCAGGTTTGATCCAAAACTCACTAAAATAGAACTTGTGATACAACAAGAAGCAGATTAAAATAAGGTAAAAAATTAACACATCATGCTCATCAAGAACAGGTGAGAAACAAAGTCACAATGTGGAACTTTACCAGGACTGACAGCCAACCAAAATTATAACTGAAGTGCATAAGCAAACCAGAAGAGCATTTGAAGCACTTCAGACTTCACCTTATGTCAGTTAAGGTCAGAGGTAATGAATCAATAAGAAAAAACTGGTCATCTATGGAAGAGTTTCAAAGTGAAAACCTCTGCTGACCAGAAAGAGCGCAAAGCTTCGATTGGCACTAAACGTTTTGATGAGTCCCAAGACTCCTGAAGGATATTTCTGTGGATGGATGAGACAAAAGTGGAACTTTTTGAAAGGTGTACTTCCAATTACATCTGACTTACAACTAATGAAGCATTTCAGAAAAAGAACATCGTGCCTAAACATGACTGGAGACTGAGTTTCTGCTTCAGGACCTGGATGATTTGTAGTATTGGATGCAGCCATTTTGGTCGCTGGCAGAACGTCCTGAAAGAGAACTCTTCATCATCTGTCTGTGACCTTAAGCTCATGCTCTTAAAAGAAAAGATGTTGGAGTGGCCTAGTCAAAGTCTTGTATCCAGTTGAGATGCTGTGGGAGGATCTTAAACACAAAGTCCTCTAATTTGCCTGAACTAAACCAAATATGCAAAGACAAGACACAATTCTTTCACAGAGATGTAAAAACTTATAGTCTGGTACCATAAACACTTGATAGCAGTTGCACAATCAGTTCATAGGGGTAATTACTTTTCTACAAGTATTTCTTTTACAGATTTATTTAGAGGCAGTGATGCTGGGGAAGAAACAAAGAGGGTAATGATCA